TGAGGCATGTTCTTGGTTTATCAAATAACCTGTTGTCCTGTGGTGCTTTATCATATTTAGAATTAGAAGGAAAATGGGGAAATGATTGTATGAAAATTACTAAGGGATCTTTAGTTGTGTTTAAGGTTGTAAAACGTAATAATTTGTACGTTACTTGTATTGAACCAATTAATATGCCTGTAAACACAATAAATTCTATTAAAGAGAATAGTGAATTGTGGCATAAGAGATGAAGACACTTAAGCAATAAAGGATTATAAATTTTACATAAAAATTGATCATTATGAAATGTAAAATTCAATCTTGTGTCTTTTTGTGATAATTGTGTGTATGGTAAACACCATAAGGTCCAATTTCCCCATTCCCCTAGTGAAAAACATGAATTATCTAAATCTATGTTGGATTATTTACATGCTGATGTGTGGGGCCTAACTAGTGAGTCCACACATAGTGGGTTTAGATATTTTTTTATCCATTATTGATGATTTTCCTAGAAAAACATGGGTGTTCCTTATGAAGAATAAATCTGATGTGTTTGATATTTTCAAAAATTGGAAAATTAAAATTGAAAATAAAACTGGAAAGAAAATTAGATATCTTAGAACTGATAATGGTTTAGAATTTTGCAACTCCTAGTTTGATGATTTTTGTCAAGAAAATGGTATAAATAGACATAGGACTATCCCATATACACCCCAGCAGAATGGGGTGGCAGAGAGGATGAACTGGACTCTTTTAGAGAGAGTTCGAAGCCTTTTGGCTTCACCCGGTTTGTCTAAAAAATTTTGGGGGGAAACTGTTATGACAGCAGCTTGCATAGTCAATATATCACCCTCAATTCCTTTGAATGGTGCTTGTCCTGAATTTAAGTGGACCGGTAAAAAAATTGATTTTTCAAATATTCGAGTGTTTGGGTGTTCTACTTTTATACGTGCTAATAATGACAAATTAGACCCTAGAGCTGAAAATGTATCTTTTTGGGTTATCCGAAATGAGTTAAGGGTTATAGATTGTGGTTAAGATCTAGGCCTGGTTTTAAAACTGTTATTAGTAGAGATGTTGTTTTCAATGAAATGAGATGCCCTGTTTAAATATTGAAAAATCTGTTTTGGATAAATTTGAGATTAATATTGAAAATCTAGATTATAGTAATATTCCAAATGAGGTGGAGTATAATATTGTTAGTATAGGTGAGGCATAAAATATAGAAAATGATGCTGAAATTCGTGTAGAATCTGCTGTGAGAGAGGAGACTGTTATTGAAAGTGATAATAATATTTCTGAAAATCAAAATGAATCTGATATTGATAAAATAGTCAAAATGAATCTGATTTTGATAATAATAATCAAAATGAGTTAGAAAATTACCATTTGACTAGAGATGGGGCTAGGAGAATCCATATGTTGCCTACAAGGTTTGGTGATTTTGATTTATCTTCTTTAGCTTTTAGTGTATTTGAGAATTTAGATGGTAATGAACCTAAGACATATAGAGAGGCCATAAATTTTGAAAATATAAATCAATGGCTAAAAGCAATGAAAGAATAAATGGATTCATTATATGATAATAAAACTTGATGTTTGGTTCATAAACCTCCTAATTGTTCTCTTGTTGATTGTAAATGGATTTATAAAGTTAAACAAGAAGATTATGGAATTAGGTTTAAGGCTAGATTAGTAGCTAAGGGTTTTACCAAAAAGGAATGAATATATTATAATGAAATTTTTGCCCCTGTTATCAAACTTACCACTGTTAGAGTCATGTTATCTCTAGTTGCATTTTATGATTGGAAGCTAAAACAATTGGATGTAAAGCAGCTTTTCTGCATAGTGAATTAAATGAGAAGATTTATATGAAACAACCTGAAGGTTTTGTTGATAAAAATAAAATGAATCATATTTGTTTGTTAAATAAATATTTGTATGGTTTAAAACAATCACCTAGACAATAGAATACCAAATTTGATAATTGTATGAAAAATCTTGATTTTATTAAAAGAAATTTGATTATTGTTTGTATTTTAAGACTGTTAAAAACCAACATGTTTTTTTTCTCATTTATGTTGATAATATGTTGATTATTAGTCCATGTTTAAAGCTTATTGATCATGTGACTAAGTGTTTATGTGATAATTTTGACATGAAATTGTTGGGTGATGCCAAAGTAATTTTGGGCATGTGTATCACTAGGGATAGAAAAAATTCAAGACTATTTATGAATTAGTCTACTTATATTTAAAAAATTCTTAAGAAATTTTCTATGAGTGATGCTAAATTTGTTTATATTCCTATGACTTTTAATTTTGTGTTAAGTAGGGATCAATGTTTCAAGTCGGAATCTGATTTTGAATATATGAAACATGTACCATATTCTAATGCAATAGGTTCCATAATGTACTTAATGGTTAGCATTAGACCATATTTAGCTTATGCTATTAGTTGTTTAAATAGGTATATGTCGAACCCTGGTTTAGAACATTGACATGCATTGAAATGGGGTTTTAGATACTTAGTTGGTACAATAAATGTTGGTCTTGTATTTGAGAAACATACTGAAAATGTTAAATTAGAAGGTTTTGTGGATTTAAATTATGCAAATAATAGAGATAGTAGGAAAAGTACAACTTCCTATATTTTTACTTTGTTTGAAACTTGTATAAGTTGGAAATCTCAATTGCAACACATTGTAGCACTATCCACTACAGATTCTGAATATGTTGCAATAACTGAAGCTTTAAAAGAAACATTATGGTTAAAAGGATTAATCAGTGAATTAGGTTATTTACAGCATGCTGTTACTGTTTTTTCGGATAGCCAGTCATGAATTCAATTGTGTAAAAACCCTGTATTTCATGATAGAACCAAACATATTGACGTGCATTTTTATTTTATACGTGATATTGTATCTAAAGGAATATTAAAATTAGAAAAGATTCCTTCTGAGTATAATCCATCTGATATGGGTACTAAGGTTTTACCTGCAAACAAATCTTTATCATGTATGAAATACATACATTGTGATACTTTTGATTAGTCTTGTATTACTTAGAGTAGTAGATAGGCTAAGTTAATATTTTTTGACTAACATTGTGCTTTCTGTGTAGGTAAATATATGGGCGATGATATACCCCAGTCACTCGAACAAAAAGTCAGGTGGAGGATTTGTTGAATTTTTTGATCCAATTAGATCCACCCCAATATAAACACACACACACCTTAATTATGTAGCCCACTTTAAACCCTGGCCGTGGCCGCGACCCACACCCGCCAACCCGTGACCCGCTTAACCTGAACCGCTTACACACTCTTGGCCGCGACCTGTACCCACTTACCTGACCCGTGCTCGCGACCCGTGCCCATGACCCGCTTAGGATTCGCGTCCCTTTTGCTAGACGCGATCTGGACCATCCATTCTAGGTCTTTGATCTCGGCCGTCCATTCCTTTTGACCCTGAGTATATATAGATAGAGAGAGAGGGCGCAGCCCTCATTCACTCTCTCACACTCTCTCGCTCTAACTCTCCTACTCTCTAGCCTCTCTCTCTCGACCTCTCTGTTCGTCCTATCCGACGACTTTTTCCGACGATTCACGGCGGTTCTTGGAGGCGCCTTCCTCCTGTAACTTGTGGAGTTCCTGTGGCGCGTTTCTTACGATCCTGTTTTGTTGTTCGTAGCCGCAAAGGGCTCGTTCAACCTTTAGACGCTTGAATTTGTTTGTTTCGCCTTGTATATACTTGAAGGGGTTCGATTTTGTGTGAGTTGTGTTAGTTTCGAGCTGGTTATAACTGTGTAGTCGCTAGTTAGGTGTTTTTGTGTGTCGATTTACTGTTTGAGTTGGTTAGAGACTGAGCCTAACCAAATCTAGTACAATACTTTTGTTTTTTACTTGATTTCGGTAATAAAACTCTAGATCCATTTATATTTTTTAATAACAATTACAAACTACAATACACATGTATACTTAAGTAAAACTGAATTGATTGTATGTAAAACGGTTGACGTCGAGGTTATAAAATTTTATATTTAAGTATTTATTTAATTTAGTATAAATAGACTATGGTTGTATAATTGTATTTTAAATATAGAATTAATATTTAATATGATATAAAAAAATAAAATATTTAAAATATTTATTTAAGCATTTTCAAATATATTCCAATAAATATGAAAAAATAAAATTTATATAATTTAAATAAATAAAAAAATATTTATAACATTATATAATATATTTGTATTATATTAATATAATTTACATATTATTTATCTTCATATAACTTGTTGTCTTTTATATTTATAGTGTTTATATATATTATATGACGACAATTAGGGTGCCGAAATCATGCTGATTTGACCAAATCAACAAACTAACTTGAAAAATTAGCAAATCATTACACGATATATAACACATTACTAAATAACATGTCAATATGAAACAATTAACATATTCTTACAAGACAGATAACATATATTGTATTATATAATGTGCTATATATTATGTGATGATTTACTATTTTTCTTTATGAACATTTGTCAATTGGAACAAATTACAGATGTGATGAAATCAAAATATAGTAAAATCAAGATATATTTTGCTATATATAATTATATAATATACTATTCAAATATGTATTATATTTTATATCGATATTTGCTATTTTTTTTTATAAATATTTGCTAATTGATTTGACATAATCAACATATTGTTGTAATTCATGTACTATTATTATTTGCTTTTTGTTTGATTGTTTGGAGATTTGAATTTTTTTTTTTAATTTGAATAATAAAAAAATTGAATGGAAATAGTTATACGAATAGATGTCAATATTTTGAATATAAAAAATTATTTTTTATATAATATAAAAAATAAAAAAAAGTTAATTTAATATTTATTTTTTTAATTAAAAAATTGAGAAAATTTGATAAAATAAACAATATTCTAAATTTTGATGTATAAACACAAGTGCAGCAACCGGCACCAAATACACTAGCTCCTCGAGCTATTTACATCGTAATAATTAATGGGATTTTCAGACAATTGTCCAAGGTAGACAGGCGAAAATCTCTGTTCCGTCCAACCGAATACCATATCTAAAGCATTGTCCCCCACCTCTCTCTCTAGATTATTTCAGCTTCTTCTCGTGCTAAAACCCAATCTATCGTCCACTCATTCCCTCGTACACTAAAACCCCCAATTTCTGAAATCCATTGGAATTCCGTGTGTGGTGGAGTGGATTCACTGTGTTTTCGTGATTTCCTATTCAACCGTCATTTGTATGGGGTGAGTGAAGAGTTATGATGGAGTGGGATAGTAATTCGGAGTCTGATCTCAGCGGGGACGGCGAGGAGGAGGAGGTGGAGGATGAGGAATTAGGGTTAGGGTTTATGTTGAGGAAGAGTTGCGGTGGATTGCCGTTCCCCGTCGATGAGCTTCTGCAGCCGGCGCCGTGCGGATTTGTGGTCACGGATGCTTTGGAGCCCGACAATCCCATTATTTACGTCAATTCGGTGTTTGAGATGGTTACTGGATACCGTGCGGAGGAAGTTCTGGGGCGTAACTGGTTAGCCGTTTCTTCCTATTCTTGTGTTTTCTGACGAAATTGGCTCTCTACTGTTTGTGTAGTTCTTCAATCTCTTTGTTCATATGTCATGGAAAGTTTTGAATTCAGAATTTTTGTTTTTGGGGTGAATTTTAAGTTGGATAGAATTTTTTTCGAGGATTGATATTTTCGTTTCTTTCTCTAGTTGGGTAAAGAAAAAGATTATAACCTAAGGCCATGTTAGCATTGAGGATTAGTTTTTATAGACCAAATTAGTAAAATCAATCATACGTTTAGTTAACAAGTTGTAGATGAGATTAATTACAACTAAAAATTAGACTACAAGAACTAATCTTGCCTTTAGGTTTGAAAACTAATTGAAATTCTGATTCTTATTTAAATTTGTATCTTGCCTTTATGTGTATTACACCTTCGTTGCTGCTGAGTTGTTTTTCTTTTTTTTTTTTTTTGTGCTCATTAGGATTAGGTATTGTAAAAACATATGATACTGCTTGCTTATTGAATCCCATTTTTTGTCCCTTTTTCTTTTATTTACTTTTTGCAGTTTTATTGCTTTGTTACTTTCGAAGTTATAATGAGCCATATGGGTGCTGCAATATGTTTGGTTCTAAAATGAATTAATTCGGCTGACTCGCTCTTTGGGTAATATCTTGGGAAGCTGTGAGGAACCCAGCTTGTTTTTCTGTGGAATTTAATGGATAGGCATCCTATTTTTGGGGTGGGGGTGGGTGGTTTGCATTGAATGTATATTTCATGTGCCATCTGACTTGGAACTAGGACTGTGTTTTCAGTGTACATTTCATTGTACCTATCCAGATACTACATACGACTTAATTAATTAGGAGAACATTGTGGCTTTTTAGTTTGTTTTCTTAAGATTCTCAAGTCTTATTTAAAAGATGGCTTTGAAGAGAAATTTTAGATTTAATTATGGATTTTTCTACAACCTTAGACATTGAAACCCTGGCATCAGTGGGATATCTACATGATTCCTCTCTGTTTGTGTCTGAGTTATTTATGTCCTAGATTAATTTTGACTGTAAGTCTGTAACCTGTTCCATTGTGTATCATATGTGACATTTTTCATATTGTATCTGCAACTTATCCTATTGGGAATCTTAGGGGCTATTGGTGCTGAGTGCAAGAATCAAATGTATATGTTTTTACCTTTTTTTAAATTTTTTTTTATAGGCCTCCAATATGCAACCAATGTAGCTTTTGCTTGTTTGGATGCATTTTGAGGGTTATAACTTTTGAATGTGCTAGTGTGTCATATTGTTTCCTTGTATGGTAAATGTATTTGATTTGACATAAGATATAACAGAGTTTGGATGATGACATTGAATATGAGATTGATGGTTAGATTTAGGGGTGTTTACTATAGACCTTAGTAAAAGCATGTTAGATTTATTTCTTTTTACTGGTTCAGCAATTTCATTGTTTCTGTGGATGTAAAATACATCCAACAATCCAAGCATGCGAGTTGTTCTGGATGACCAAGAAAGAAGTAATAATGAGTGCAATATACGTTAAAATTAAGCTGCCTTTTGGTATGGATTTACTTCTAATGTTGGATAAGATCGATATTTCTGTATATGTAAGAACACAACTGCAATAATTAATGTCTTTTGATTCAGAAAAAATGTAAAGCTGGTTTCTAACACTACATACCCTTTAGTATTCCTTTCTCAGTTCCTACTATCTTTATCAGAGGCTCTCAGAATAAGTATCCTTTCTTTTCTTTTTCATCTTTAGTTGGAAATTGAGTTATATGTGATTTTGTTTCTTCTACCTGTCTCTGAAATGTTCTTTCACACATTCGCATTCTAACATCTTCCTTGATTGTCTGTCTATTAAAGTTAGTGGATGCAACCCAACATTTCTAAACATAGGCACACCTCCTGCATTAAGGAGATAATTGATGCAGTGAAACCTTGGAGATCTTAATTTTTCCAGAGTAAAATTTGGAAAGAATAGAATCTGTAAGAGGAAAAATGGATGTGATGGAGAAGTGATTCCTCATTTGAATGCTAAAACTAGTTCTTGTTGAGTAGATATGTCAAATTGTCAGTTTGTTTTCTTTTTTTTTCCTTTTTTCTTTTTTTTTTTTTGGGTTTTATTTGTTTGTTTTTATCCTTTTAACTCAAATAGTGGGCAATATACATTGCAGAACTCCTTATCATCTCTTTTTTCTAGTTGATTCCCTTAATGATTTTGCAAGGGTGATGTTATTGCTAACAATTCAATAAACTGGCACGTATTAAATCAAACTCTGTGATGATTTTAGTCTGTCTTACACTAATATTTTCGGGAGCTCTCTAAGATCCATTGGAGTTTTCATCTACTATGCTACTGGGCTTGACTTTGTTAGAGTAAATGAGATGAACATTAGACCTCTTCTGTAATGGGCAAACTTACACTGTTACCTTAAAATAGGTACAATTCTTGGTGAGAAAACTATATTGTGGTGAGTATCGTTGAATGTAAAATTCTTCTTGGATGTTAGGTTATTTATATATATATATATATTATACAAAAATGGTTCCCATAAAAATCTCCGTGCGACTTCAATCTTTCTGTTTGGTCTTCCATTTAGTTGGTAAAGCTTCCTTGAAGTTTTCTATAGCATTGCATTTAAAGTTTAAAAATTTATTTTATTATAGAATAGCATTTTATGGAATGCTTTTGTGTTCGGGAATAATGTAATATAAAACCTCAAAGCTCTTATTCATACCACTAACTTAGTGGTAATTTTTTCCATTCACGTTGACCGCAGTTTATTTTGATACTGGAAAATTGAAACTAAACGCTCTTGGCAAACACTTGGAGATGTTGGCATGTGTTTATCATGACTTGCTCATATTTGAATATTTCCATTTACCTACTTTAGGCACATCCATCAGCTGTTCTTTTAATTTTGGGACTCTTGTGGAACCTATGTTTGGAAATTAGAAGCTATCATTTTTAAAAACAAAAGCCATCAGGAGGATTGCTTGTGTAGTTGTGTTATTATGTTGGCAATAAGTGTCACATACTCATGCTTCGTTGAAAATTTCTGCAGCCGCTTCTTGCAATGCAGAGGTCCTTTTGCCAAGCGAAGACATCCTCTTGTGAACCCTTCAGTAGTTGCTGAAATACGAAGTTGTCTCGGGCAAGGAATTGAGTTTCAAGGGGAGCTTTTAAATTTCAGAAAAGATGGATCTCCATTGATGAATAGGCTGCGTCTCACTCCTATATACGATGATGACGGGGCAATAACGCATATCATTGGCATACAGGTATTTACCGAAGTTAATCTTGATCTTGGCCCGCTTGCGGGATCCTTGGCCAAGGACTCGTTGAGAGCATTTGATAAGTCTAGAGCTGCTATTCTTCCCGGAGTAGTGTTGGATAGAAACCCGAACATCAGCCGTGGGATTTGCGGGATAATGCAGTTAAGTGATGAGGTACTTGCTCTCAAGATCTTTTCACGGTTGACTCCTCGCGATATCGCATCTGTTGGCTCTGTTTGTAGGCGCCTTTACGAGCTAACAAAGTTCGAAGATCTATGGCGAATGGTTTGTCAAAATGCATGGGGTAGTGAAACGACTCGGGTGCTGGAGACTGTACCTGGCGCCAAAAGGCTCGGGTGGGTTCGATTGGCGAGAGAGCTAACCACTCTCGAAGCAGCTGCATGGAGAAAACTGACAGTCGGAGGCACGGTCGAACCGTCTCGCTGCAACTTCAGCGCATGCGCCGTCGGGAATCGCATCGTTCTTTTCGGCGGAGAAGGTGTCAACATGCAGCCCATGAACGACACGTTCGTGTTGGACTTGAATTCAACGAATCCCGAGTGGCAACACGTCAAAGTGAGTTCCCCGCCCCCCGGGCGGTGGGGTCACACGCTTTCTTGCGTAAATGGGTCCCACCTCGTCGTGTTCGGCGGATGCGGCAGGCAAGGGTTACTAAACGACGTCTTCGTTTTAGATTTGGATGCCAAGCATCCGACTTGGCGGGAAATCTCGAGCCTCGCCCCGCCGCTGCCTCGATCCTGGCACAGCTCGTGCACCCTCGACGGCACGAAGCTGATCGTCTCTGGCGGCTGCGCGTACTCGGGAGTGCTTCTGAGCGATACCTTCTTGCTCGATCTTTCCATGGAGAAGCCGATGTGGCGGGAGATACCCGCAGCGTGGTCCCCGCCATCTCGTCTGGGGCACACGCTCTCCGTTTACGGCGGGAGGAAAATTCTGATGTTTGGGGGTCTAGCAAAGAGCGGCCCCCTGAGGTTCCGATCGAGCGATGTGTTCACAATGGATTTGAGCGAGGACGAACCGTGTTGGAGATGCGTTACAGGGAGCGGGATGCCCGGCGCGGGAAATCCCGGCGGCGTCGCTCCGCCGCCGCGATTGGACCACGTGGCGGTGAGTCTCCCCGGGGGTAGGATCCTTGTTTTTGGGGGGTCTGTAGCGGGTCTGCACTCTGCTTCCCAGCTCTATATACTTGATCCGACGGAGGAGGATCCGACGTGGAGGATTCTGAATGTGCCGGGTCGGCCACCGAGGTTTGCGTGGGGCCACAGCACGTGCATTGTGGGAGGCACACGTGCGATAGTTCTGGGGGGGCAGACGGGGGAAGAGTGGATGCTGGGGGAGCTTCATGAGCTTTCGTTGACGGGTACTATGATGTCGTTATGAGGGACAACGAAGTACGGACATTCTTGTTGTTTGAAGAACGTAACCATTTTGTGTAATAGACGATTTGACTGTCGTGTGTAGTGTGTCGCCCTACCCGTATATGTATACCTGACCCGACCCGGCTGGGCTGCCTGCTGCCGCTGCTCTTGTTGTTGTTGTTGTACGTAAATTTGGGTTTTTTTTTTCTTAATGAACCTTGGGAGTGTGGGTCTAAGTTTTGCTTTGGCGCTCTCAGCCTGCTGAATAATAAATATGTAGCTTACAATGCGAGAATGGTTGAGCTGCAAATAATGTACAAAAAACGGTGGCGGCTGCGGTGTTTGAAATTCAGCAGTGTGTTGAGATATGCTCTTTTCGTCCAATGGTAATATTTTCATTTGATTTTGGCACGTAAATTAAAATAAAGATAAAATAAAGATAAAGTAGTATTTTATAGATATGTATTGTAATAAATTAGTAAAATGTTTTTTTTTTTTTTTTTTTTTTTTTTTTTTTAATGATGTGGGAGTAAAATGTCTATTTTGCCTATAGTATTAGTTGAATTAAAAGAAAGACAATAAAGCAAGATAAATGAATCTTAAAAATTGTCTCACTTCATAAATAAATACTAATACATAATTACTTCATTAAAAATAAACTACAGTAAGCTGAGAATCTCAAGGCGTCCAAGCAGCAACAAAGAAGCCAATTCCAACACGTCCAAGCAGCACGAAACAACAGAAGATAATTCCAGCACATGTAGCAAATAAAAGTATGTTGTCAAAATAAATTTTCCCTCAAACCTAAAAATAAGTTTTACCTCCTGCTTACAAATAAGTTTCCCTCACACCTACTTTTATAAATACATCATTTTACATACAACATTCATTACACATAATTGACATAAACATAAGAGTAGATTTTACCTCCAATTATGAAAAAAAATTAAGCAATGATCAACTCAATGCAATAGCTCAGTTTTTATTGTAAGATTCTCGTGATGGGAAACCCTTACATGGAAAGATCAAGGAAACATCATCCACGTTCAAAATCTCACGTAGAAGTGTGTATACCTATGGCAAAGAGCAATGCAGCAACAAAAGTCAGGTATGCCCATAAATTTAATCAACCGAAAAAAAGGCAAGCATCATCCGAGAAAATTTTTTTTTCGATGAAACAGTTCTGCAAGGAATACCTTACAGTAAAAGAGGAACTTATCGTAACAGTGCAAAGCATATGAGTGTTGGCAAATCTACTGTAGGAAAGTGGGTGAAAGAGGGGTTGATCAGGCCCTATACAAACGCAATCAAGCCCTCTCTAAGCGAGAAGAACATGATCAATAGAATGAAGTTTTGCCTCGATGCTGTAGAGGTATGTGGGAACTCGAATTTGATAAAGTTCAAAATTATGTCAAATGTAATGCACATTGATGAGAAATGGTTTTATTTAACACACAATACCAAGAGATACTATCTCACTCAAGAAAAACAAGAACCGCATAAGCCACAGCAAAAGATTCATTACAAAAATAATATTTCTTTGTGTCGCTAGCAGACCAATCTATAGAGAGGATGAGGAGACTTTATTTGATGGACAATTTGTAATTTTTCCATTTATAAAACAAGTACCAACAAAGAGGAAATTGAAGAATCAATCAGCTGGGACAATGAAGACAGAACCTTTAGACTCAATCACAAAAGAAGTCACGAAAGAGATTATGATTAATAAGGTATGATTGCTTTCATTTAAAATTCAAACTATCTGAATACTCAATAATGTCAAGTAAATGTGTGCAAGTAATCCTGACAATAAAGGCTAAGTGGCCAACAAGCTTAAGCAAAATCATTGTTATTCAACAAGACAATGCTAAGCTGCACATAGATGATAATGACCCCGACTTCGGGAGGGCAACCAGTTCAGATGGATTCGACAGACACACAGTGTTTCAACCATCAAACAACCCAGAAACAATGATTTGGGGTGGTTCCGAGCAATTCAGTCCCTTTAAGTTACAACTGCGGCACAGAATGTCGAAGATTTGCTAGTTGTTGTTAACAAATCTTTCGACACAACACTTAACAATGTTTTCTTAAGTTTGCAGGACTGTTTAATTCAAATCATGAAGTACAATGGAAGCGATAACTATAAAATCCCCCATTTAGGAAAATCAACACTATCAAGTAGGAGTATGCTTCCAACTGACTTGGAAATTGATCGAGAAATGATCAAGATATGTATTGATAGCCTAATGGAAGCAAATGAGGCACATGGTTCGAAAGAGCTTATTACAACTGTTGAGGAATTGAATTGATGGACAATGACTTGTCCTTCAATTCGGCCATAGAAGATAGTTAAGTAAAAAGTTGATGTGGCCTTTTTGTAAAGCTTTGACCTTTTGCATTGTACAGTCAAAAGGTAACTGTCTTATAGATTGTGTAGTTGAGTTTTTGTACAACTTCAAATAGGTTGTACAAAGACAACCTGTAAAGAGTTGTTGACAAAACTCATACGGGACATTAGATTGGAGACTTTCACTCTCAAATTATGCCATCATTATTGAACGAGGGGCAATTGCAATATTAGATGATTTTTTGTTAAGAAAGGCAATTGCAATTCTTTTTTTGTCAAACCAAATTTTTTTATAACTTACATCTTCGCCACTTTTAACTCTCAGACTATACAATCATCACTGAGTATGAACCTATTGTGTTTCAAGTGTTCATTGAGTGTTTCAACTATAAAAAATCACTTCTGCGAGGGGTGATGTTATACACAGCATAAGTCTCCAGAAACTCTCATTAGTGACACATTCGTTAAAATTGTATCTAATTGAGCATCTATTTCATCATGTCAACTCATATATGAATTTTTCCAGCAAATAAATGCCACACAAACGTTCACAGTGCACAACTTATATAATGATTTTTACCCTAAAGCTCATTTTTGGAACAATATACCTTCGTATACCTTAACAATGTTGATCGGAGTTCCCATGGAAGGATTTAGTTACCGGTGTAATATTCTGATTTCGGAGTGTATAAAATAACATTATTATAGCAAATAAATATTTTCATAATATCTTGGGATCAAGAAATTAATATTTCGTAATAAATTTTATTCCCATTTTATATGTTGATTATTATTGAAAAGACTGTTAAAACAAATAAATATCAATAATAATAAATATAATGTATAATAACATACATAATAAAATATAAAGATAAATACATGATAATAATAATATAGATAAGGATGATATTATTACTAATAGTAATAATAATAATAATAACGATAATAATAATAATATAATTATATATATATATAAACGTAATAAACAAGGAAAGAAACGCCATGAAGAAAAAAAAAGAAAGGGAGGAAGAAAAAAAAAAGACAAATATTTAGCCGGCCGATTTCAATTTCGATTTTGGTATTGTATTCGTTGTTATACATAGAGTTTAATTATAAATTTTAATATGAATTTAGTTATTGGGGATTTTAAATTAGAAATTCTTCAAAAATTCATAATTGACTATTTGGCTATTTAATCGACGAATTTCTTTAGCTAATAACCTATTTATAGTCCTAGTGTTATATTCTGATAATTTTGTATCGATTCGAGCCGAATTGAAAATGACAGTATATTGCACATGTTTGTTTGTTCATATCTTTAAATATTTTTATTTAATAATCGGGCGATATAAATATTATGAGGTATAAGAGTTTTATAGCTAAAATATCGTATTCTACTAAATATAAAAGTTTGAAGCCCGACGAGCTAATTATAGAAATTAACTTTTCAATAAGCAGGTAGCTCCTATTAATAAGAATATAGTTCATCTGATTTGAGTAAATAATAGGACAGGTGTACGTTGGAGGAGATTTGGGTGAGATTGCAAAAATTAAGGAGTGTCGATAAAAGGTAAGAAGTAGAGAATTAAATTTAATTTTAAGAAATTAGGTATGCATGTTGCATGCAATTCTGATTAATATGTTAATGTGATATTATGTGAATCATTCTGCCAGTACATGTATATATTTATATATATATGTGTGTATGCATGTGTGAGACTTCTCATTTTATGATATTTGATATACATATTTGATCGCGTTGGTGAATTTATGAAAATGAGGATAGGTGAGTTGTCTTATCAACTCTTTTCGGTAAATTCATTTATTTGACATGCTACACACATATTGCATGATGTATCGGTTATATTTTATGGATCTATCATTTAGTCGCTGTGTGCGGTAATGGTAGGCAAGGGCATCATCTGGGGTTAGGATATTCAACCCCGATGTACCGTAACACTTTGGTGATAGTGGACGATAGTAGTCGGACAACTGGGTGACTTAGTCGCACGGTCATTCAGGGATTAGACCCATGGTAGTTGAGACGTATTTGGTCTAATCATTCGTATTAGGTGTTGTTCCACTCATTAGACTGATCACTGGTGAGGTCTACCGGTAGTTTAGGATTATATGTCAAACTCCAAACATGATCCCGTTAGGGCGCGCGAGGAGGAGTAGAGTTTTCGGGTTTTCCTTGGGTGATTCCAGGTTGCACAAATTTTACTACACTAGTGGGGGTCCTATATCCGCTCTCACAGACTATGGGGCGTCTTGTGGTTAATGGCGGCAACATTCGACTATCCATGTATTGATTGTGGGAGTCGTATAGTGGTTATATGGAAGTGACCAGATGACCGTTATATTATTATGGGTTTATCAGGTCCTTCCTTGAACCGAGAATTTTTCAGTTATTTATTGATGATAGTCTAGTGAGCTTGTTATTACCGGGCCGAGGTTATTCCGGCTGCTCACTTAGATAGATGCAGTGAGCTTATTATTATGAAGCCGAGGTTATTCCGGCTGCTCACTTCGGCGGATGTATATATATGTGCATGTGCATTGTTATCGAGTTTGATATCTTTGTTGCATCATTTCACTATTGGCATGATTTGACACGTATTTTTTGATTGACGGAGATTAGACTTTATTTTAAAAGGTATGACATGACATATTTCACGTTAGTTCTTAAAATTGATTTAATTATAGACTGCTTTTAAGAAAAATATTTGATTCAGGTATGCATGGCACCTCTAGGACAGGGGACATCTCGGGATATAGAAAGACGGGATGAGTGAGTGAACATACATCTATTATATTATATGTAAATTTTTAACCGGAAACACCTCTTGTTTAGAAGTGTGTTTTGTAAATGTTCATAAATTAGATTTTGTTATATAATAATACGCTTTTATCGTTAATTTTAGCCTTAACACTGTATTGTTGGGCTCGAAGTAGAAGGTGACGACCTCATGATGCAGTGTGGCAGTAGCATTTCCAATACGAGCCAACTGAGGGTGTTACAAACGCAACAATTCCGACAGCTAACAACCTTCTGCCGGCAATGGAGAAGACGGATCTAACGACATCGATAAATTTCGAGGCGACAATAGTGATTGACGACGGCGAGCAGATGAGAGGAGAAGACGCGAATGAGAGATGTGAATGTGTGGTTAGAATGATTTTTAATTTTTATGTTTATTTATGTATTAAATAATGTCTATTTATGTATTAAATAATGTTTATTTGTTAGTTTAGGTTAAATAAATATGATGGTAATTATGTAATATTATATGAAGATAAACGGTATTTTGGTATTTACGTAAAATTTATTGTTACTAAAAATAGAAATAGAAAGTTTGATTTGGACCGACTAAAATAGTAAAATGGGATGGACTGAGGGAGTACTATATTATTATTAACAGTACATTATTTATATTAATATAAACATATACTATATTATTATTGATAATACATTATTTATATTAATAACAAAAAACATAGGGGATAGGCAAAATTACAAAGACTAAAAAGTCCGGCAACTTGCAATAATTTTATTTCTTTTTGAAATAATATTTTTTCAAACATTTCAAAAGAATAAAGAGAATAAAGGACAAAATTAGGATGTGTATTATTAATTTTACCTAACCTCATGTTTTTTTTTTTTTTAATATAATACTATCAAATTTTTTTTATCCAAACCTTATGTTTTTTTACTTTTTGAACTCTGATATTGATACGACCACACTTACACTATACTATTAACACCAATTTACATATACGTAAACGATAAACATGCTATAATCCCTCTTAATTACTTACATCTATAACAATCTGTTCACCTGTTATAAATTTTTGTTTTCAGCAAAACATAACATAACTCAACAGTAACCTATTAACATTCATCAAAAGGATCTCAAACTATATCAAAAACTACACAATCGACATACTATTTATAAGAATACCATACAACTTCTAAAACAGACGTAATATAGCACAACGGAAGCAAAACAAGCTACGGTCCTGCCCGCAGGTCGTCATCTATGTACACAGCAACTCAAAATGCCTGTAAGAGCGCCATGGCTACTCCAGTCTGTCCACCAAGCCATATATCATCAGGATTACCTACAATGCATAAACTGAGTGAGATTTATAAATCTCCGTAACTAGAAATTATGCATGTTGTGAAGTTTATCTCAAAATTCTCACTATGCAGAATGTGCTCTCGTTTGAAATTCACCAATTTATTTATGAAATACTCTCCAGGGCCTCTAGACACACTGTTATACACCGGAAAAGAGCTCAATATCCATATATTCAAATCAAACGGTGGCCGACACCAGGTAGCCTACACCGGGTTTCCTCGTAAGGTTTCCCCGGGTCGCTTCTTCCCAGGTCGCCTCTTCCGCATGCATTGTTTATGCATTGTATGTAAAGTCACAATAGACGGTGGCCTACACCAGGTAGCCTACACCAGGCTTCCCCAGGTCGCTTCTTCCCAGGTCTCCTCTCCCGCCCTCGGTGTATAATCAGCGGTCTAACATAGTAAAACCATCTTATTTCATTTCAATGCATGATATGCATGCTTAATGAAAATGCAATGCAACATATTTCACAATATACAGATATTATTGAACTCACTAGTTCAAACCACATCAATTTTGGAGCTCACAGACTCCTTCAACATCAAATATAGAGTTCACAGGCTCAACCATATCACATACAGAGCTCACAGGCTGAAACCAATGTATATACGGAGCTCGCAGGCTCAAATCACATAATCACATAATATTAATCACATATTACAGTTTTCTAATATTCACATATTATCAAACAAACATAAATAACTCACATAATAATATATTTTTATACATTGTAGTTGCAAATGAGTTTCTACATACCTGAAGTTCACAAAAAACGTCAATAATCCTAATTTTTAAAGCCCTTTTCACGATTCCAGTCTCGTATCTAATAACAATTAATTACAAATATTACCCCAATTTACTAAATAATTATTTCTACTCAAAACTTCCTTTATTTAGTAAAATAGTAATAATTCGTGAACACGAAAAATACCTGAACTAGACTTTTAACGAATTCGGCGTCAAAAGTTTTTTTTTTTCCTTCGCGTTGCCTCACCTCTGCCTTTCTCCCTGCTTTCGCAATTGATATGGATGTGGGTTTGATTGAGGTGGGGGTGGGGATTATTACCCCGCCCCCACCGCCTAAATATTTTTTATTTATTTATTTATTTATTATTATTATTATTATTATTATTATTATTATTATTATTATTATTATTATTATTTTCATTATTATTATTTTATTTATTTTACTTTTTATTTAACTATTAAGATAAATTTTCAAGTGATCTATATTTAACTTACATCATTAATATCTAAATAATTTACCCAATCTATTTGTATCCTACTAGAATCTCATATAAATTATGATAATATTTTCTTATTAATAAACGGGTAAGGCATATACCAATTTATAAACAATTTAACATTTAAGTAATTTACCAGCACCTAATATATGAAATATATATTGGCCAATGAGTAGTGAGAAACTCGGGTATCACAGATTTTTTTTTCTTACAAAACATTCCTCTGATGTTTTTGGATCAATGATTTGGAGGCCCGTAGTTCACAACCCGAACCCACCCATTATGCAGTCGGATCCTGCAACCCGCGGGTTGAACCCGATCTATTGCGAGGCGTAATCTCAGCCGTTGGATTGAGGGTTTGATTCTCAACCATTGGATGAGTTTCTTATATAGATGTTAATACACAGTTTTGTGTATCTCTAATTCTCAGTCTCATGCATCGTTCTTCTCTCTAAAAGCCCTAGCATCCTGACGCTGCGTTCGATCGATCTTCTCTTGAGTTTTTCGGTGATCTTGTCCGGCGAAGCTGTGGAATTGATTGGTGCATTTGACGTTCGACTTGTTCTGAGGCTGTTCATCAGTTTGGTTTATCGATTCTCTGCCTACTTTGATTGTGCGATGTAATTCTATGTTCGCTGTGAAGTTAGGCTTGAATTGTTAATGTTTCCATAGATTTGAGTTTAATTCGTGTGTTGATTGCATTTCCTTAGCTTGGGTAGTGTGGTTAGGGTTCGGTTTTGTGCGATAGTTGGTTTCGCTTGTTATACTTGGGTAAGCTGAGTCCGAGCTCCTTTGCTATTGAATATATAAAAAATTCTTTAGATTTTTGTAGTGCTTTGTTCGATTATCTTGTAAATAGCATGTTTCGATCCTGGCTTAAGCAATAAAGATTCCATCAAACATTATTTTAATATCAAATACAAAATAATTTTTTTTCCAAACCAATCAAAAAGAAACATAACCTTAACAACCATAAACCTTACTGTGTAATTAGAATTGTACTGATTAACTCTTGGTCAGAATATAGAAGATATTTTTATTATATTAATATAAATAATATATTATTGACTTGTGATTTATGTGTGGTCAATTTATAATGAATATCAATATTCAATATTGAGCACCGAAACAATAACAACAACAATAATAATAACAATAATAATGTTTTTACTGCATATTCACACAATTTTTTTTTTCAAAAATATCAAATTAAATATTTATTTTTATTTTTTGTATTTTATATTTTATTAAAAATTAATTTTATATTCAAAACATCATATCAATACTTATTTATATCTCATCGACAGACAAAATCTTGAACCTATGATATGTTACAAGTTCATCCACACCACCAGATCATCCCTTATTGGCACTATCTACTTTGATTTTACTGTCTGTCTATTACCAATTATGTCCCTAGATTATAATATTTATTAAGCACTTTTCTAATTATAAATTTATATTAAGATTTTTTGTTTGTTGTTATACTAATTAATTGCGCTTCATATACCCTAATAAAATGAAAAAATATATTTAAGAGTCACTAGTATGGAAGAAAATGTTTTTGCCATAAACATAGCATGAAGAAGTATATTTTAGTTCTGTTTTTTGCTTTAGTGTACACTACAAAAAAAATGACTTTTTGTAGCGGTAAAAAATCGGTAACAAAAACCCAATTTTTGTGCAAAATAGCCTTTTTTGTCGACTCTGTTGCGGATTTTGATCGCTACGAAAAATCGCGGTACAAAAGGTCTATGTTGCAACAAATTCCATAACAAATAAGTGACAGTCACCCTCAAAATAAGCACGTGTTTATTGTATTTGTTGCGTTTTTTGTACGTAACGAAAGCATCGATCATGTTTTTGGAACAACATATGTCCGTAACAAAAAATTCGGAACAAAAGTTAAATCCTGTCAGAGAACTATTTGTTATGACATATTTTCGAAACAAAAAATAGGGTACAAATACGGAATCTTGTCAGAAAACTTTTTGTTGCAATCTTCGTCTGTAACAAAAAATTGTGTTACAAAGGTAGTGTCATGTCAGAGTATTGTTTGTTACGAAATTTTTCCGCAACGAAAAATTCGGTACAAAAGTAATGCAAACGTAAAACACTTTTTGTACCGGCCATTGTCCGTAATGAAAAATCCGCTACAAAAGGTGTCCATGTCTCAAATAAGGATTTTGTCTCCACGAATAAAATCCAATTGTTAAATTTGTTATTGATCAATTTGGATCACAAATAATTTAAAACATAATATTATCATAATTAATCTGAAATCCTTGTTCATATCTGCACAATGACATCAATCCAACAACATACATATTCGTGTAAAAAATAGAATACTAGACGTTAACAGTACTTTAAAACATCTTCAAAAATCACCATGACATACACCATAACAACCAACTAACAACTTGCTAACACTTGATCCCCAAATCCAAAAGTAATACGTGAATAAATAAATATGGTATCAAACTGCAGTACAATCCTAAGGTCGACTAACAAATACAACTATGAATAACTAAGCTCATCGAGTGCAAAATAACAGATGAAGCAATCAGAGGCGGTCAACCAACTGCAATGTGTTTCTAATGATATATATGAATTATATCAGCAACTAAAGTAATTTAATTCCCAAAAGAACAAACATTTCAAAAAAAAAAATTGTACAACCTTGCAAGTCCACTTGATGTTTTCTATGTCGAGTACTCATCAAGCATTTCACTCCGGAATTACATGGGAGAATAAGTACGGTCTCCGGGACTGTAATAGCGGTAACAAATGTCTTGACAATGGTTAGGGTATCACCTATATAAAAAGGTAAAACCAAAGCTAATATTAGAAAATATGATATCTCTAAACAACATGAAATAATATAATAAAATATATAAACATATCAAGAAAATGTTAGTAATGGAAACTTTACAATAAAATAAAAGTTATCCTTCAGTTTGATCTATGGACACTATCTTAAATATGAATATAGCAATGTCTACAACCGAAAGCACTAGTCAAGAAGTCTGACCACCAAACATTAGGAAGATAAACCACACAACAATAAACTACGAAACAAATCTCCCAACACCGATAAACCAACATTTATAAACCACCACAATCTTATGATGTTAATTTTCTCCCTCTCTTGAGTCTTTAGTGTTTTCTACTAAGCCAAACAATAGGTTTATAAAAATTTAAACTAAAGTAGCCAGGAGCAAAAGTTATTATACTAGTAATGTAAACTATCACCACTATTAAGTTACGCAAAATAATAAAATAAATATCCATGAACAGCCCTATACTAATATAAATAAAAACAAGACTAATCTATCTATCAAAATAATTAATCATTGAGCACTTACCGTAATATAATTTAAACAAACAACAACAACAAAGATAATCAATATTGCAGTAACAAAAATTGCAATTTAACAATTAATGGCAACATGCTAATATAGACTAACTTGAGGCAATTAACAATATAGTAGTTACATAATTACGACTATTTTAATAACTATAATCAAGTAGACAACCTCCAGCAATAATATGTACTGAACCAGCCTGTAGCTAAAACTGCTCTATCTTTCTCTTTTCTTCATCATCTCTTTCCCACTTAATTACATAGTTTAAATCATTGTCAAGCTGACGAGATATAAGGTGGAACCCATTACAGTTATTTATTTTCTACATTCCTCAACTCATGTTTAATTTTCAAAGATGACAGATTGTGCAACATCAATTTCAAATGTCTGTAAACACACTTATTAGAAGAAGACAGGTAGCTCAGTATTAGTTATTATAAAATGTCCTTCAATTTAATTATACCAAAATCAAGATCAACTGATATTTTGTAGTATAGACAAGATCAATGTTTGTAAGACCAAAAAGAACAGCACACCAACACCATCCGTACCCATTCTCACAAGCTACACCTACAATAGTTGCTCTATTAATTCCTTATACCCAGCAAATACACAATGTTAATGAACTCTAACATAATCAAATTTTAAGACAACTAAGCATTGAGCAGAAAGCCACAATCTTACTAATGAAAACACATTGAAGTGTAAAATGAACAAATCATCCAACAAAACACCAGTTATCAAGACTTTGAGTAAGAGATGACAATTTAGAAAGTAAAGTACCTTCTCAAAGTGATCCACAATGTCCTAGTTGTCTTCAAAATACTTTTTGATGTCAAAGATTTGGAGATTTTGGACGTGTGGTCGGTATCTGTACCAATATGAACAGATTCATATCATAGTTTGTCAGTAATCCGAATAGTTGGATTGGTAATGTCTGTAAGTTAATCCATATATAATGCATGGTGCTACCATTAAACCTGGATCAGATTGGATTTAATGGAATGAATTAGATCACAACTTAAATAAAAGTTAATCCATATATAATGCATGGTGCTACCTCTTTGTGTTTGTTAAAAGAAAATCACAAACACAATGATTATTGATTGATGACATCTCAATCAAATACTTGCCTTCTTTGTAGAAACTTAGCATAGGTGTGGCTTTAAATGTCAAGATCTTCATCAGCTATTTAATTTCTGCCTCTTGGTGCTCCTATTACATTGAAACTAATAATGTAAATGGAGGAAATCAGATACACCACACATTGCATTGCACTATTCTTGGTAATCATGACCTCAACTTGTTCATCACATTCGATCTAGCTTGCAAATTACTTTGTTCAATTTCTTTGGCATGGATTTTCTCTACTATCTTCGAAAAAAACTAATAATAAACAAACCAGTTTGACCAAATTTTTTATGTTAAGAAACTTGAAAACTAGTAAATAAACACCAAACACAATATTTTCAGTGAATATGAGATTGATGTATTCAACTTCTTAATTCAACTAAAAGAAAATTCACAAGTTTCTCATAGTTCTTGAGCAAGATAGGATTATAAACTGTTTGTAAGAAGTGAGAAATTACATTGTACACCAATGCCATCAAAAGCTTATATACCCTTATGAAGCAAAAGCAATATGAAGTAAATGAAGAAACCATTTTATGTATTATAGTTACTGATCAAAGTTTGAAAACATATATACTCATGGCAAATAATAGTGTGCAAAGAGTAATAATTGAGAATGGCTTCTAAAGCCAGAATAGCATGGTTTCTAAAGCCAAAATAGCTTCAACATGTTGCACCTGACCAAAGCAAATGCAGCCTCACATGCGAGCATGTTCGGCCTACCTATAGTGGTTGATGTACAAAATGTGATTAAATGTTAGATAGCTTCAGCATGATGTACAAATGCTATAATGCATATGACACATGAACAATAAGATCCATCTAAATATGCAAATATAAAGTCAGCCAAGATGATAAACATGCACGACCACAAGAAAGTCATCAGTAAAATTTGGAGGGAATAACAAATCTTCCTGCGTTTAAAAAAAAAAAAAAAGATGAAAGAAAGAAAGAAAAAACAGTTGCATATTTACCTGAAAAAAAGTTGTGGTTGCTAAAGAAAGAACTCATTTCAGTAAATTAGTTGTCAAGAAAACCTATAAATTAATAAATGGATAAACAATCATAGTTTATATTGATTCATTTCAAGAATTAACAATGTGCTAAATAGAATTTAAAATAAATTGCTTATTAAACATAGCAAAGGGAAAAAGGAATTTATCGAAGAATTTCAACTATAGCCATAAAATAAATTTAAGAAACAAATAAGACCAAGCAATATAAGCATTGTGGTATATCAGGTGAGAGAAAATAATGTGTTAGAAATAGCACCATAAAAAATATATCAAACTAATATTTTAAGATATAACGCATATGAACTTCGATTAGAACTTTTATAAAAAACTAATTAAATTTCGTGTAGTTCATTTAATGCAACTGTAAAGTGGAAATAGTATAATGATGTATACTCAAACAATAGCCTGGTGTTAATACATGTATGGTATATGCTTATGATTTTGCATGGAAATAGCAATCCATATATGCAGTGAACAATCACCCAGATATGTATTTATATTCAAATTACCTACAAAAAAATTCCATGTTTTAACATTCTTTTGATTCCTTTCCCAACATAAATATTCAACTCTAAAGGGGGTAAGATTATTTTCATTCTTCTTCTTTGAAAAGCAACAACGACCATTACGCCGTATAATAGGCCAATGCCATCAGGGCATTATCAAGAATATAGTCATGATCGATACTAAATGCATAATCTGCAGTAATGCAATTAAAAACCACATCACATAGGTCACAAAAGTGATCAACAAGTTGCCTTTCAATGAGTTTATGAATTATTAACCAATATACACACTAATGCAAAATTCATATTTAACGATGCCAACAAGAACATATTTTCCAAAGCATTTGTATTTCATAGACTTCCATTTCATATGATTGGGGAACTATAAATTTCTCACAAATGGAAAAACTCCTAGATTAATTGCAATGTTAGATGTTGACATGATGAAAAAAAGGTAGCATGTAGTGACTGCAATTCTATTGGCATGTAGATCTTTCATTTTTGCATTATAATGAAATAATTACCTTTGAATCCCAATTTGTGTTTAGGGAAGAGTTGCATAATCAAAGTTAATTTGTATATGAAAATATCGAATGATACATTGCTTAGTTCTTAAAAGTATGAGCAATATGAAAGGGGGCAACTAACAAGAAGTAATATATCCTTCCAAGGGAATTGATCTAATTAAGCCGAAAATTTCATATTTAAAACAAAAACTTCACTGCACCAAGGGAAAGTAGAAATCTCATCAATGGTTAAGAAAGTTTAGATATTATTAAGCATCTCAAGAGATGAATGAAAATGGTTGATGAATTGAATTTTCCCAATTGAAATTTACCAACATTCCGCAGCAGTGAGAAATTTATCAAGTTGAAAACAATTCAAGCAATAATAAATGTGTGTTTGGTGTTGTTCCCTCTGAAGAATATAAGAGCAAATGATCAATATATCTATATAGGTATTGCCACGCTTCCAAAGTAAATTTGGAAATGTATGGGAAGTAATGTAATGTACTATTGCTTATAAACACAAGAGCAGCCGCAAGGAGGACAAGAATACAAGTAAAACTGGAAAGAGTTCAGTGATAAATTCAAGCAAATAAAGAAAAGATTATTATACCTTTTAAAGATCTGGAAAAAAGTGGCTATGGATGTACCTACCAGCGGGTGTTATTTCCGAAGAGATTCCGGCGGCCTTGACAGTGCTACCTTCGGGCGGAACCGTAAAGGTCCTCTTCCGGCGGCGGCGGATTCCATCTTTGAGAGAGAGGCTGCAACTTCGAAAGAGAAAGGAAGAGGGGAAGGAGAAAAAGAAATCGAAAAAAAAAAAGAAAGCGAGAAAAGAGAGAAGGAAAAAAAAGGGTGAAGGACGGCGGGTAGGGTTTGTATGTTTTGTAGAGGCACAGACTTTTGAATTATTTTTTTTTTTAAATTTTAAAATACAATAATAATTGTTTTTATTAATTTTAATTTATAAATATAATAGTATTAGCCTTGTTATGGTTTGAACTTTACAAAATATTTTTTTTAATTTTAAAATAATTTTATGTAGATTTTTTAAATGTTAATTAAAATATTAATTTTTGTTACTGTTTAAATTACGAAACAAATATATATATATGACAATACTTCGTCTCTATAACTAATTGTTACGGATATATTACCGAAATAAAAAATTTTATTTTTAAATTTTAAAATAATTATATATATATTCTTTTATATATAATTATAATATTTATTTAATTTTTTGTTACGATTTAAATTGCGTAACAAGTATATATAGGACGATATCTCGTGCCAAATGTTATTGTTACAGATAAATTACCGAAACAAATACATAAAAAGTTTGACCAATAATAGAAACTTTTTGTCCCGACAAATTTCGTAAGAACAGCTTCTTTTTGTGACGAAATATTTTTTACGGACAATATACCGCTACAAAAAGCCAATTTTTTGGTAATGGTATAGGAAATTGTATGCTTATTCCAATTATTATATGCTTCACTTAGGTTAGGAGACACTATATTGTTCGTTAGATATATTTTATTCTTTTTTTTTCATAAACTTTTGATGTAATCCAATTGGGTTGGTATATTTTACCCAACTCTAAAACAAATAATTCAATCAATATAATGAGATTCGAAGAAAAATAGAGATAGAATAAAAATGATAGAACAATACTCAACCTAGTTGATTAAGGTCACAAGAACTTAATTTTAAATCCAAAATTCTAACTAAAAAAAGAAATAAATTGATAGGTTTAATTCATCTACAAGAATTAAAAGTGACTAAGCTATGATTAATTTCATACACCCGATCTAAAAATCAGAATGCAATGAATCACTCACACCTTAATGAACAAAACGAAATATAACAGCTTTCAATGCCAAAAAAGATATATTGAAAATTTAATTAAATGTGTTTGAAAGTGGATACGAGTAGCTTTAATATAGACCAAGAGGGGGGGGGGGCAATGCATTAACTGGAATTAAGGGGAATGTTTACTACAATACTATAAGATATTTGGTCTCGTAGAGTAATGAATTATTAACTACATAATTTCATTATAGAGCTTTATAGATACATTAACTAAAGAGTTAAATTGACATCAGAAACTCATCGGAATCTCACCGGAACTCCTCTCGGCTATTTTTCTCCCTCTCACTCTATCTCTCACGGTTGGATTTCTTCAACAACTAACCCTTCAAACCCTCTTTCTGTTTCTATATTTATATATCTAGAAACTTCCTCCAAAACTAACCCCATAACAAACCCACAACTAATTGAGTTTTAGATTATATGGATTTAGGTTTTAGGATATATGGGTTTAGGATAAAATGGTTTGGGCTTGGATTTGGGTAATAGAGGATTGGGCCGATCCGGTGGATCGGGCCAATGAGTGGGCCAACTGATTATTCATCGAGGGACTCATTGGGTTAGGCCTCCAACAGCCAAAATTCCCAACAATCTCTACCTATTTTGATCGTGATTTAACCAAATACCAAATATGTATTTACTAGATATAGACTTATCTTGCACCTCTGGATTTCATCATCATTTTTTGTCCCTCGCTGCATCCACGAACAAACGTTATGCAGAGAAAACATATCACACATAGAACACATAAGTTCTAACGTGCACCTAAATTGATCGCACAACAACCTAGCACGTAGTACACAGAAGCTACTACGAAAGGAAGCATACAAACATGCATTTTCAATTATTTCACCAAGGAAACACATAATGCAACAAAATCATTTTATTCTTGATTATCCTCCAATTTACAATTCTTTTTAGGCATTTTTCAAATAATACCTAACATGCATTTTCTATGACACGGCTCCGGATCACCCGAACCTGAACTTAGACGGACCGATTGCAACCCGAACCCGGTCGAAGCTACTTGTTTGCTTGGAGGTTGTGATCCTTTGATCTTAATCAAAATGTGTGGTTTAGATTAGCTTGCCACTTAATGTGTGTTTTAGATTAGCTTGCCACTTAAGATGTGTGGCTTAAATTAATTTGTCACATTTAGTATATATAGCCTTGTTTATTTTCTTGATGGACACAACTTAGATGAAAACATTTTGAGAGAGGGTTAACCTAGCTTTGGAGAGATTCCTTAGAGTTGGAGTGATTCCATCCGCCGAGAGGGCAATTCGAATACATATTAGATACTTGTCTTCGAGTTTGATTCATGGAGATGATCCTAATCCATGTCATTCTATCTCACACGAAAATATCAACATGCATCCAACAATCGGATATAGCAACTCAACTCTCAAGAATAATACAAACATAGCCCAAGAAACTACACAATAGAAATAACCAAGAAATCAAAAAATAATTTCCAAAAAATCTCTCCAAGAAATATAAGAAAATTACAACAAATTCCAAGATTATTCAATCAATCACCAAGTAATGCATAGCCAAACAAACACAAAGAATTTCATATATTATCAAACCACAATTTCACCAAGATTCATAATATATCGAAAATAAAGAGAGGAGGGTTTAGCCTTTCACCAAACTCGAATCAAATTTTCTTTCAATTTTGTAATCGATTGATCACCCGGGGATTTGATACCACTATGTTTCCCAAGTCCAAGATCAACAGCACAATATTCACACAAGAATATTCCAAATCTAACGAAAACGTAAACCAACTTTTATTATTACGGAAGCAAAATTGACTTGCACTCAGTTTACCCTCAAATCAAACAAACTGACATCGAATACACATCCAAGACCTCGAACACAAATGACATGCCACGGAAACACAACTAACTCACAAACCTGAACTCCAATCTAAGGAAATATTGCCGAAATTAAGCCTAAACAACATCGCAGACAAATTGCACCACGAACAACCAAGAAGGCATAAATCGAGCAAACCAAACCGTAGAACCATCAAGGTTCGAGTCGCGCATCGACATGGAAGAAGGACCTCCCAACTACTAAACCGGGTTTTAAAACTTGTGCTAGTCGGGATGTGATGTTTAATGAAAAAGAAGACTAACACAAGTTTTAAAATCCGATATAGTAGTTAGCCACAACCTATACCCCTCAACTCCCTCCGCGTATCCTAAACCAAGAAGAACCGCCCAAACTATTTTATCCTAAACCCACATATCCCAAAGTCTAAATCTATATTATCTGAAGCCCAATTAGTTGTGGGTTTGTTGTGGGGTTAGTTTTGGGGGAAGTTTATAGATATATATATAGATATAGAAAGAGAAAGAGGGTTTAGAGGGTTAGTTGCTGAGGGAATCCAATCGTGAGAGATGAGGGAGAGGGAGAGAAATAGCCGAGGGGAGTTCCGGTCAGATTCCGATGAGAGTAGAATCCCCTTTTTGAGTGTCGATTCCGGTTGGTGTCGAAGTTTGGAGTGACGAGCCGACCTCCAATCTTGAGGTGTGGTTACCATAGCCGATCGCACCATGGACTGAGCCAAAAACCGCCGTCCTTTCACCGATGATAGAAACCAAGAAAGTTTGAAGAAGATTTGGCTTGTTCGATATTGTTTCGGACAAGATCGCTATGAATCGGGAGTACTCGGAGGAAGCCTTACTGCCGGACCGAGATGGACAATGCTCGTCAAAATAGTTCGGAGAATATTGGAGAAGACGACCATGCTATTGCCTGGAGTTGCTGTCCTACGATGTGAACGTTGTCCGTCGCCGGAAACCGTTGCCCTCCGGCGCTGTTCTCGGAAGGGAAAAGGATGTGTGATAAAAAATTGGCCAACAATTACAGATGTCATACATATGTATTACAATAATATGCATCCACATCGCGTATACGTGTATTTATAACACTCCCATTGGATGCATTTATACAAAGAATGTGTCTCGTTAAAACCTTATTAGGAAAAAACCCAGTGGGAAAAAATCATAATGAAGGAAAAAGAATACATCATTCTTGTATTAATATGTTCCCATTGTTTTCGACTTTATTTGATGTCTTTCATCCAACACATTCCAATTCCTTGCACCAATTTGCTGAATGTTGCAATTGGTAGCGCCTTCATAAATAAATCTGCAAAATTTTCAGACGATCGAATTTGTTGCACATTAATTTCACCACTTTTTTGAAGATCGTGAGTGAAAAACGAACTTCAGAGATATGTGCTTTGTCTGATCGCTTTTAGTATATCCTTCTTTTAATTGAACTATACAAGCTGCATTATCTTCAAATAATATTGTGGGAGATAATATATCATCAGAAATCAAGCCACAATTTTTCTGAATATGAGAGTCATAGACCTCAACCACACGCATTCACGACTGGCTTCGTGAATTGCTAAAACCTCAGCTTAGTTTGAAGAAGTAGTTGTTATTGTCTTTTTAGAAGATCTCTAAAAAATTGCGGTTCCGCCACAAGTAAATTAATAGCCAGTTTGAGATTTTACTTTGTGTTGATCAGACAGATAACCAGTATCAGCATAGCCAATTAATTTATTTCGAGATTCACTCGAATAAAATAAACCGAGGTCATGAGTCTCCTGAAGATAAAGAAAAATGTGCTTGATACCATTCCAATGATGCTTTGTGGGGGATGCGCTAAACTTGGCCAGTAGATTTACTGGAAAAGACATATCTCGTCTGGTACAATTTGCAAGGTACATGAATGCGCCAATAACATTGAAATATGGTACCTCGGGGCCAAGTATTTCTTCATTTTCTTCTCTTGGCCTAAATGGATCTTTATTGAGATCAAGGGATCTGACCATCATTGGTGTACTCAGAGAGTGAGATTTATCCTTATAAAATTGCCTTAAAACCTTTTAGGTATATGT